TGGACAAATAATGGTAAAAGTTGTGTTATTCGTTATTTATTATTGCTGTTGACATTACTGCAGTTATGTTTGGCTTCAGTTGTGCTGCGCCTCCATAAATATGCAAATGCATTATGTCAATACGGCCGCATCTACGTGCACCCGCATTCACATAATGACATTTACGTGCCTCTCTTTCTCTCTCCCATTCTGTGGAGGCTCATACTATATGCGACTGCCATTAGCTGTGCCATTTATTGAATAGACAAACAAAATCACTTTACATACTTGATAATGCAGCTGCAGCGGAATTAAAGAATAATATTTAGCTTATTTCCGCAGTGTAGATAGACAAACACTAGCATATACATATATGATTATAAAGTTTAAATTTATATACCAATTAGTTTTTGTGTGAACAATCATTTGTCAGCTAGTTTAATGGCATACAAATCACTCATAATTAATTTAATCATTTATTACAATTAACATCAGCAAGGGTTATTTTTTGTTTTGTTTTAATTCTTTTTTGTTTGAATTGTGGAACATTTTCTGCTTGGCCAAGCTTCAAGCGCTCCGATAATCCCATTGTGAATTTCAAACAACACCCACAGCGCATGCCGCATGCCGCATGCATATTGCAACAATGGTGTATGGCAGTCAACATAATTACAGTTTTATGATGCACGCTCTTCTGTATGGGCAACTGCAAGATACCCTACAATATATTATAATTGGATTCAATTATATGGCTATGCATATACCCTACTGCAGAGTCTGGCAGCTGCATACATGCGGCGCCTATTTGTATGGCAAAATTAAATTTAACGCCAACAGCTTAGCGACCAATAAATTAATGCATAATTAATGAAACGCAATTGCAACAAGACAGAACAGCCAGCCATTATGCCCCACCAATTCAATTTAATTTTCGTCTATCTGCAAATTATGTGGTTAGGGGTTCGGTCTAAGTCCCTTCATAAAGATATATGTGTACATTCCTATATATAAATATATTCATTGCTGGGCAATTTTTAATATGGCTCTCTATGATTTGCAGGAGTGGAACGACTACAAATTGAAATGGAATCCCGACGATTACGGCGGCGTGGATACCCTGCATGTGCCCTCCGAGCACATATGGCTGCCGGATATAGTACTATATAACAAGTAAGTGCCGTCCAATTCCCTAGCCTTCCGCCTGGTCCGACTTATTATGTTTATGGTTAGGCATTGGCTGGCATTTGGGGGCTTTGCCGTGGAAGTTTTGGCGCCTGGCACCATTTGCATAATTGCCCAATGGGCGCGACGGGCGCATAAATCAAAGCGCACAGTTACGCTTGCAATTTATCAGGCAATGATTAACGTATTTTTATTTCAATGTAACATGAGAGCTGGCCAACGAGTCAGCCTCGCAGCCGGCTGTGCAAAGGGGAACAGGCCTCGCTTTATGCTCAGCACACAATTGCTGACAACTCGTCTGCTTTCTCAAATTGGACGTTTTATTTTACTATGCTCGCTGTAATTATTATAATTTGCCTTGTGTCGTATTTCACTTGGAGAGAAGCCAGCCCCAAATAAACGGCACGGTGGTATAAACTACAAAAACAAAAAAAATTGTTAATAAACTAAAGATAATTTTTTACTTTAGAGTAATCATATAAAAATTGAAAATTTTGAATTGAATTGAAAAATTGTTTTTTATTATATATTGATGTATTTTTCATTTATAAATG